GTAGTCCTGGTGTCTGTGGTTCTGTGGAGCTCTGACCCGGTTCTTGTGTCTGTGGTTCTGTGGAGCTCTGACCCGGTTCTCGTCTGTCCTCAGACCTGTCCTTCATCACCACCTGGCCGTTCCTGTGGAAGGTGTCGTCCATCACGCTCGTCAGCTGTCTTCCTCTCTACATCATCAAGTACCTGAAGCGAAAGTTTTCACCCCCCAGCTACTCCAAACTGTCGTCCTGAGGTCCAGTCAGAACCGGACCCTGCAGGACCTGAATGATCTCGTTGGCTCTGAAGGATTTAAATAAATCTGCTCCGAGCAGGAAGTGGCTTTTAAGCGTTTTCTACATTTTGGTGTCGAGCTGCTGACGGACGGAAGACACGTCGTCCTCCAACGCTCCGCAGGCGCGTCCACGTGAGCCTGCGTGCACGTGAGCCTGTGTGCACGTGGCCTCTCATCTGCATCAGATGTCAGCGTTCCGTCGGCTGCTTGTGTTACCAGGTGAACACACCTGGTCGCCGTGACGACGTCTCGAGGAGGAATGAGTTTTATCATCCCTCGCCGCCGCTCCAGGGAACACTGAGGTTCTGCAAATGTTCTGGTTCTGACCGGAACTGGTTCTGACTCTGACCAGTTCTGGTTCTGACCGGACCTGGTACTCTTGACTCTGACCAGTTCTGGTTCTGACTGGAACTGGTTCTGGTTCTGACCGGACCTGGATCGAAGGTGTTTGTTTTTTTACAAGCTGAATGTAAAGTTTGTGGCTTCCTGTGGGTGTAAAGTTTTAACTTCCTGTTTTTAACGTTCTGTTCTTTATGAAACGACGATGAATAAATGAGAAATTTCAGGTTTGGTTCGTTTGAAGTCGTTCAGTGACGACGACCGACAGAGGGAGGCACAGACCACAGGAACCTTCACAATAAAAGTTTGGCCTTCCAAAGTAAAACGCTGCAGCCTCGTCAGCAGCTTCAACTGAAGGAAACTAATTATAGATAAATCTTCTTCTTTCAGCTTTTCCTCTTCAGGGGTCTCCTCCATCTCACTCTGTCCTCTGTCCTCACTCTGTCCTCTGTCCTCACTCCAACTACCTCCATGTCCTCTCTAACTGCATCCATATGTCTCTGTCTTTTTCCTGGCAGCTGCATTTCTAACATCCTTATATGCACTGTCCCTCCTCTGGACATGTCCAAACCACTGTCCCTCCTCTGGACATGTCCAAACCATCTCAGTGTGTCCTCTCTAACTTTATCTCCCAGTTGTTCAACCTGTGCTGTACCTCTGATGATCTCATTCCTGATCTTCTCCATCCTTGTCTCTCCTAAGGAGAACCTCAACATCTTCATTTCTGGTACTTCCAGTTCTGTCTCCTGTCTTTTTGTCCATGTCTCTGTCTCCAGACCATACAACATAGCTGGTCTCACCACTGTCTTGTAAACTTTTCCTTTGACCTTTGATCTTTGCTGACACCCTTTTATCACAAATCACTCCTGAAACTTTTCTCCATCACTCCATCCTGCCTGGACTCTCTTCTTCACCTCTTTACCACACTCCCCATGTTCCTGGACAGTGGACCCCAAGTCCTTGAAGTTCTGCACCTTTGTGACCTCTGCTCCTTGTAGCCTCACTGTTCCACCTCCTCCCTCTCAGACACACACATGGACTCTGTCTTAGACCAGGTCAGGACCAGAGTCCAGGAGCATCAGAACAGAAACCAAACGACAAACTTTCATCCAAAACAAGAAGAAAACTCAACTCTTTGTTTGGTTTTTGTTGGTTTAGCTTGTTGTGTGGTTTGGGTCTGATTCTGGTTCGGTCCGGACTGTGGTGGTGAGGAGTCCGGGGATCAGCTCCAGCCTCTGAAGCTTTGTGCCCGCAGGTCAATGGACACCTCAGGTATTTATGACCTGCGGACTGGTGGAGGTATTTACAGCAGCATCAGTGGCCCCGCTAACTGAGTCCAGACCAGCCGGGTCAAGACCATCAGCCGGGTCAGGACCATCAGCTGGGTCAGGACCATCAGCCAGGTCAGGACCAGCAGATGTCCATGAGGTCAGAAGCGAGCGAGGCTCCTCAGACGTCAGGAGAGCCTCCAGGCCTCGTTCTCGTGTCCAAACACAACGATTGGGTTTCACCAGAACCCCCAGACCCAGGAGGGGGAGGTGTTATGTAACAGAGACCATCTGGACCAGGAGCCCAGTTCTGCACTGAGTCCGATGTCTGTCAGAACCCAAGAAGAATTTTATTTTGAGTCAGTTTGATCCTTAATTAAATAAAAGTGTAGAAACAAAACTGACGTTACCACAAATCATGATGCGTTCACTGAACCTCCGAAATCTGATAGCTGTTGTTTCTGGAGGGAACCCTCATCAGCTGATTGACTTCAGAACAAAAAGAGCTAAAGATTCTTCAGGAAACATCAGGTGAAGGTTTCATCAGGATCATCTTCCCAGAAAGGCCCCCGTCCAGGATTTGAACCGGTAACCATCTCGCTGAGAAGTAACCGCTCTACCTCCCCAGCTGAAGGTTCTGCTGCAAAAACTGAAATGTTCCCAAACAAATTAAAGTCCATTTAAGCAGAACAGCAGCTGAACGCTAAAATTAGCAAAACAGCAGCTGAAAGCTAATGTTAGCAAAACAGCAGCTGATAGCTAATGTTAGCAAAACAGCAGCTGAAAGCTAACATTGGCAAAACAGCAGCTGAAAGCTAACATTAGCACAACAGCAGCTGAAAGCTAATGTTAGCAAAACAGCAGCTGAAAGCTAACATTATAAAAATAGCAGCTGAAAGCTAAAGATTTCCAAAAGCACAAAGGTTTTTAAGGATGTGAAAAGTTCTGACTTGCAGAAACTGAACACCAAGTCAGCACCACTAACTCAGTGAAACCCAACAGAACCGGGTCTTGAATGAAAGTCTGCTCCTCCAGAAGGAGGCTCAGAGAAACATCGGACCAGGTCAGCTGACTCCCTGCTGCACCTCCAGGCGTGGACCGGTTCCTTCAGAACCTTCATGTGACTGCTGTCATCACAGAAACCGGGCCTGCTGCCAGAACCTCCAAAGATAGAACCTGCCTGTCTGCAGGCAGCAGTCTAGGGGAACTCCGTGAAGGTTCTGGGTCCAGCGTGTCCAAAGACCGAGTCTAGGACTTGCTTTTTTTATGGATGACTGCAGCAGGAAGAGGACAAACCGTTCAAACAGCCAAAAACTTCAGGTTAAGAGCCGAAGTTTTGATGTGTCCTGATGCAGCTTCCTACTGTCTCACCTGACTCTGGGCCGGATCAGATCACAAGACATAACAGGAAGTTTGGGTCCACAGCTTCCTGGAAACTTCCAGGAAGTTGATAAAAACATGAAATCATAAGGTGCTGAGTCAGCATTGGCTTTAATCTGACTTCGGCTGCAGACTTTGAGTCATTTTAGCTGCTCACAACTCAAAATCTCCAGCTCATTCTGCTAATGGCTGCTGAGATTTTCAGCTGTTGCAACTTTTATATTTTTCAAAATATTGAATGTTATTTAAAAAGAAACTCCCACATGCGATGTCTTTAAATCTGCTTCAGCTGCTGGTTCTGTTTCTTATATCTTTAGGTTTTAGCTACTGTTTGTAGTTTTTACTTTTAGATGTTTCGCTCCTCTTAGATTCTCTTTCTTTAAGGTAAGTTAGCTTTCTTCTCCCTTTCAGCTACTGTTTTGCTCCTTTCAGCTTGTTTTGCTCATTTTAGCTATACAGTTTTTCCCAGTGAACTACAGTTTTGCTACTTTCAGTTATTGCTCTTTTAGCTCCTGTTTTGCTCATTTCAGCTCCTGTTTTGCTCCTTTTAGCTACTGTTCTGCTCCTTTCAGCTTTTGCTCTTTTAGCTGTTTTGATCCTTACAGCTCCTGTTCTGCTCCTTTCAGCTACTGTTCTGCTCCTTGTAGCTATTCTGTTTTGCTCTTTTAGTTACTGTTTTGCTCTTTCAGCTCCTGTTTTGTTCATTTCAGCTTTTGTTCTTTTAGCTAGTGTTTTGCTCCTTACAGCTCCTGTTTTGCTCTTTTAGTTACTGTTATGCTTCTTTCAGCTTTTTCTCTTTTAGCTACTGTTTTTGCTCCTTTCAGCTCCTGTTTTGTTACTTTCAACTCCTGTTTAGCTACTTTTAGCTCCTGTTTTGTTCATTTCAGCTCCTGATTTGCTCTTTTAGCTACTGTTTTGCTCCTTTCAGCTCCTGTTTTGCTCCTTTCAGTTCTTGCTCTTTTAGCTACTGTTTTGCTCCTTTCAGCTCATGTTTTGCTCCTTTCAGCTTTTGCTCTTTTAGCTACTGTTTTGCTCTTTCAGCTCATGTTTTGCTCTTTTAGTTAGTTATGCTCCTTTCAGCTTTTTCTCTTTTAGTTACTGTTTTTGCTCCTTTCAGCCCCTGTTTTGCTACTTTTAGCTCCTGATTTGCTCCTTTCAGTTTTTGCTCTTTTAGCTCCTGTTTTGCTCCTTTCGGCTTTTGCTCTTTTAGCTGTTTTGCTCCTTTCAGCTCCTGTTTTGCTCCTTTCAGTTTTTGCTCTTTTAGCTACTGTTTTGTGCCTTTCAGCTCCTGTTTTACTCTTTTGGTTAGTTTTGCTAATTTCAGCTCCTGTTTTGCTCTTTTAGCTCCTGTTTTGCTCCTTTCAGCTCCTGTTT